AGGATATATAAACTAGGGTTGGGCTACAAGCCCCACCTAGTGGCGTCTCGAAGAAAAACAGGTAAAGCTAAAAATACTCCCCACTCCCCCAAATTCTTCATGTTTCAACCTTCTTGTAAAGATGAGCTACTAGTTATTTCCCTGAAACTCTAATCTAGAGACAGAGGGGAGGGTAGTTAGTGAAATTCCTAAGTCAGTGATTCTCACCACTGGAGAATTTCTTTAAAACAAAGAGAATCACTTGATAAGTTCATTTAAAATGCAGATCCTTAGGTCCTAAAGATTCAGACCTTAGTAGGTGTTGGACAGCACAGGCTTTAGCAGATACTCCACTTGGAGAGAGACTTTCAAAGTCCATCAGGCATACTGTAGTTGAACCATTTCCCCTATTAGGAACTGAGCTACTTGCATAGACGACTGTCTAAGGCCGGCCATGATACCTCATGCTTGTAGTTCTAGTGCTTTGGGAGTCTGAGGTGGGAGGATCGCTTGAGGCCAGGATCTGAGGCCAGTCTGACCAACATAGTAAGACCTCATCTCTACAAAAAATATAAAAATTAGCCATGTGTGGTGGTGTGTGCCTGTAGTCTCAGCTACTTGGTAGGCTGAGCCCAGGAGTTGGAGGCTGCAGTAGGATATGATTTTGCTACTGAACTTTAGCCTGGTTGACAGAGTGAGACCTCGTCTCAAAAAAAAAAAAAAAAAAGAAAGGAAGAAAGAAAGACGTATAATGGAGGTAGCTGCAAACAAGTCTGAGACCAAATTAGATTTCTTTTTTTTTCTTTTTGAGTTGGCGTCGTCTCATTCTGTAGTCTAGGCTGGAGTGCAGTGGCATGCTCACGTCCACCGCAGCCTCGACCTGTTGGGCTTAGGCGATCCTTCCACCTCAGCCTTCCAAGTAGCAGGAACTACAGGGGCACGCTACCATGCCTGGTTTATTTATTTTTTATTTATTGTAGATGAGATCTTGCCAAGTTGCCCAGGCTGGTCTCAAACCCCTGGACTCAGGTCATCCTCTTGCCTCCACCTCCTAAAGTGCTGGGATTACAGGTTGAACCACCATGCCTGGCTTCAAATGTACTCACAGGGCAAGATTTAGAAGGAATTTGAAGATATCCTGGACTAGTTCCTACTTCAAAGAAATTGGAACTATGTTAGCCAAGACACAGGGCTGACTTTTTCTTTTTTGTAAAAAGGGACTGGGGCTGTTCACAAGCATCACAGCACACTACAGACTTGAACTTCTGGGCAATTGCTCCTCCTGCCTCGGCTTACCAAGTAGCTGGAACTACACATGCAAACCACCATGCTCGGCTAGAAAGCTCGTTTTTTTTTTGCGTTAGAGTCTCACTCTGTTGCCCAGGCTGGAGTACAGTGGCACGCTCACGGCCACCACAGGCTCAACCTGTTGGGCTCAGGTGATCCTTCTGCTTCAACCTTCCAAGTGGCTGGAGCTACAGGCCTGTGCCACCACGCCCAGCTAATTTTTTGATTTTATTGTAGAGACAAGATCTCACCAAGTTGTCCAGCCTGGTCTCAAACCCCTGGACTCAGGCAATTCTTTCACCTCAGCCTCCCAAAGTGCTGTGATTACAAGTGTCAGCCACTGCACCCGGTCTGAAAGCTGACTCTCATAAAAACTTTTTATTTTGAAATAATGACCTCTATTTTTAAGGATCTTCCTACGTGTACTATTTCAAAAGTTTTTTTATTTTTTGGTATTTTCTTCCCTTTTCTAAGAGAGTTTGTTCTAAATACTCTCACCGTGTTTTCTGGTACTGATCTTTCACAATTATACCTATTCTAAATGTGAGGGTAATTCTGTTGTTTTGATTCACTGATATAATGATACTGTAATTCATTAAAGAAATACATTTTATTGGATTTGGTCTTTGATCTTATTATGTCAATAGGAGACAAGGGAAATGTCAGGAAGCTAACACTTTTAGGAACCTGGTGTCAAGTACTGAGATAGACTTTTTACATGCAGTAATTTTTTTTTTTTTTTTTTTTGAGTTGGAGTCTCACTTGGTCGCCCAGACTGGAGTGCAGTGGCTGCTCCCGGCCACCGCAGCCTCGACCTGCTGGGCTCTGGCGATCCTTCCACCTCAGCCTTCTGAGTAGCCGGAATTACAGGCATGTGCTACCATGCCCGGCTGATTTTTTGATTTATTGAAGAGATGAAGTCTCAGTGCCCAGGCGGGTCTCAAACCCGCGGGCTCAGGCAATCCACTCACCACCTCAGCCTCCCAAAGGCATGGGATTATAGGCTGAGCCACCGAGCCCGGCTTACATGCAGTAATTTTAATTCACTGATATGATCACCTTATGAAGTAAGTATTCTCTCCACGAAGGAGGAAGAGATGCCCAGAGATTCACTGATTATCCAGGTGCACATAGCTAGTGTGTAGTATAAGAAGACATACATATGGTCTTTGTCCCAGGTCCTGATACAGCACTCCTAAAACCCTTGGAATTTCCTGAGTGAAAAAGAATGCTTGTTATTTATTAATTAAAGACCTCATTTTGATCACATCAGTTTTTTTTGAGTTGGAGTCTCACTGTCACCCAGACTGGAGTGCAGTAGCACGCTCCCGGCCACCGCAGCCTCGACCTGCTGGGCTCTGGCGATCCTTCTGCCTCAGCCTTCCAAGTAGCTGGAACTACAGGCGCGTGCTACCACGCCCAGCTAATTTTTTTGATTTTATTGTGGAGATGAGATCTTGCCAAGTTGCCCAGGCGGGTCTCGAACCTGCGGGCTCAGGCAATCCACTCACCTCAGCCTCCCAAAGTGCTGGGATTACAGGCTGAGCCACGGAGTCTGGCTTGATCACATCAGTTTATGCTAATGAGGTTACTTAGGCTAGGGCTAATCACCAGAAAGACCAAGTGATTAGAGGACTGGAACTTTCTGTGCCACCCACTGATGTCTGGGTAGGAGAGGGGAACAGGGTCTGCAGAGCTCAATCCTGGCTCACTGCAGCCTAGGTCTCCTGCATTCAAGCGATCCTGCACTCAAGCAATCCTCCCACCTCAATTTATCCAATAGCTGGGGATACAGGGGTGCACCACCATGCCCGGCTAATTAATAACAATTTTTTTTTTGGTAGAGATGGGGTCTCATTTTGTTGCCCAGGCTGGTCTCGAACTCCTGGGCTCAATCCTTCCTCCTTGGCTTCTCAAAGTGCTGTGTTTACAGGAGTGAGTAACCGTGCCCGGCCTTCAAAACTCTTGAGATCAGACGAGCTCCCAGGTTACTGAATCTGGTGCTGCGTGGGTGACATGCCTGGAGAGGGCTTGGAAGCTCTGCATGGAACCTCCTCCACTCCACACCTTGCCTTATGCATCTCTTCCCTCTGGCTGTTCCTGAGTTGTATCTTTTTTTTTTTTGAGTTGGAGTCTCACGCTGTCGCCCAGGCTGGAGTGCAGTGGCATGCTCATGGCCACCGCAGCTTCCACCTGCTGGGCTGTGATCCTTCTGCCTCAGCCTGGGACAGGAATTTGAGACCATCCTGGGCAACAAAGTGATATTTTGTCTCTGGGGGAAAAAAAAAGATATTGGGTACAATGTGCACAAGGGGGGAGTGGTGGGTACACTTAAAGCCCAGACTTCTTTGCCATTAAATGTGAAGTCATGTGACCAAAAACTATTTTTACCCCCTAAAACTATTAAAATAAAAATATAAGCCGGGCTCGGTGGCTCAGCCTGTAATCCCGTGCCTTTGGGAGGCTGAGGTGAGTGGATTGCCTGAGCCTGCGGGTTCGAGACCCGCCTGGGCAGTGAGACCTCATCTCTACAATAAATAAAAAAATCAGGTGGGCGTGGTAGCGCATGCCTGTAATTCCGGCTACTTGGAAGGCTGAGGCGGAAGGATCGCCAGAGCCCAGCAGGTTGAGGCTGTGGTGGCCAGAAGCGGCCACTGCACTCCAGTCTGGGCGACAGAGTGAGACTCCAACTCAAAAAAAAAAAAAAAAAAAAAATATATATATATATATATAAGGTATGACTTAGGTCTGAATTCACAGTGTATGCTCCTTCTGTATGTGCTACTTTACTAAAATCTGAACAGTCATTATATAAACGGTTTATTTGCTTATTTATTCTCTTTTTCTTAGAGATGAGCTCTCGCTAGGTTGCCCAGGTTGGTCTCAAATCCCTGGTTTCAGGCAATTCTCTTGCCTCTGCCTCCCAAAGTGCTGGGATTACAGGTGTGAGCCACCATGCCTGGTGTATTAACCTTTTCTTAAACTATCTTTGGTCAGAACTACTGACCAGGAGGAAAAATGAAGTATTGTATGGCCTGTTTCTTCTTTGTTGAAATATGTATGTTCAAAATGTGTGCAACAAGATAATGAAGAAAATACAGGAACTATCTCTACACAATCTGTCACTGACTGCATGACAATACTGCTTGTGGACATTTTATTCACCTTAAAATATTGTGCTGTAAAACTGTCCAAAACTAAAATCTGTTTATACAGTAGGCAAGTACAATGGATAGTTAGCACAGTGTGTTTTGGTAAACCATTCTTTTTTTTTTTTTTTGAGTCGTGGTCTCACTCTGTCACCCAGACTGGAGTGCAGTGGCACGCTGACAGCCACTTCAGCCTCAACCTGCTGGGTTCAAGTGATCCTTTTGCCTAGTCTTCCAGGTAGCTGGAACCACAGGCACGCGCCACCATTTTTTTGATTTACTGTAGAGATGAGGTCTTGTCGTGTTGCTCTGGCTGGTAGAGAATCCCTGGCTCAGGAATCCTCTCGCCTCTGCCTCCCAAAGTGCTGAGATTATGGGCTTGAGCCACTGTGCCTAGAGAGTAAACCATTCTAAGTCAGACAGTGACTTGCCTGCTGCCTACACCAGATACATACTCTGGGGGTAAATGCACTCATACGGAGAAAGAAACAGGTATTGATAAAAGTCCTGAGAGAAAAGCAACCATTACAAATGAGAGTTTCTTGAGATTAACAGGGTTAAAGAAAACTCACATGTGAGGCGCTATGATGTCCCCAGTTTCTAGTTTAATGTCTGGTAGAGAGCGCAGTTGGTAGATAAAAATTTCTTGAAAGGATTTCAGGCACTAGAATTTACATATTTTACATGGTCTCTCATTTAAACAACCTACCAGTTTCTTTCTTCATTATCTTTACTTCATTAGCTAGTTATATATATATATATGTATATATATTATAATTTACATAATATTATTTTAAAACTTTTAATAGGTACAGTGATTATGACATTTGGTTAGTCTGAACTCTAACTTGCTTGGATGAGATTTATTTTGGAATCACATTATCCAAGCAAGGAAAAAACACAATCAGTTCGTAAGACACAACAGAAAAATAAAAAAAAGTGAGACAAATGTTTGCCTTAGAAGTTTATCAATAACCTCTTATATATACATATATATTCACAAAGTGGTTGAGAGTCCTTTTATAGGGCCCTTCGGATGAGGTTCAATGGCTGAGAACTTTCCTTTCTCCCAACTTTAATATCCTTTAGTTGGGAAGAGACAGAAGTCCATTTTCATCTGCTGTATCTAAGATTTTGCAGATCACTGGAGATTCAACCTAAAGAACAAGAACAACAAAGCCATTAAAAAGTTGCTATGCTGAATACTTTATTCAGTATTATTCTGCTGAAAGAACATGAGCTTGTTTTGAATAAACTATCTAATCTCATTTCTACAAATGAAGCTTTCTGAAAAACAACTTTTAGTCATCCATATAGGGTATCAGATAGGTGAAAAAACCATTTTTATCTCTAAGTAAATGGGACAAAGAAAAGGGCAGGAATAGGAGGGGAATTCATAGCTAGCTAGATCTTATACAACAAAGATGATCGAACATTATGGCAAAATAATAAATTGTATTCAAAGTAAAAGGCAAAGAAAAATGTAATTCAAAGATGGGACAGATGTAGAAATTATAAGATGTTATAATTATAATAAATATCCCGCGCCTTTGGGAGGCTGAGGTAAGTGGATTGCCTGAGCCCGTGGGTTCAAGACCCACCTGGGCAGCGAGACTTCATCTCTACAATAAATAAAAAAATCAGCCGGGCGTGGCAGCGCACGCCTGTAATTCCGGCTACTCGGAAGGCTGAGACGGAAGGATCGCCAGAGCCCAGCAGGCAAGGCTGCGGTGGCTGGGAGTGGCCACTGCACTCCAGTCTGGGCGACAGAGTGAGACTCCAACTCAAAAAAAAAAAAAAAATTATAATAAATATGAAGGAAATAGTGGAGAAAGTAGATAACATGTATGACTAGATAGGGATTTCTGCAAAGAAAATAAAACCATAAAGAAGAACCAAATGGAAATGACAGAGATAAAAAAATATCAGAAATAAATTCGTTTAATGGACTGGACACAGTAGAGGAAACAGTGAACTTGAAGACAGGTTAATAGAAATGATCCAAACTGAAACAAAGGGAAAAAAGTAGAACTAAAAGAATCTCTGAGATTTTGGAACAATTTTAAACTAACATGTTTAACTGGCATCTCAGAAATAGAGGAGGAAAAGAATGGGCAAAAGAAAATTTTGCGGAGATAGTGGCCAAAATTTTTCCAAAAATTGATGAAATTTATCAATCCAGAAATCCAAGAAGCTCTGTTACTCCAAGCAGGATAAAAACAGAAAAAAAAACCACCCCAAAAACCAAAAAAACACTTAGGCATAATCAAAGGTAGAATAGAGTCATGAAGTCTCCAGGAGGAAACATAGGGGAATATTTTCATGACTTTGGGGTAGCAAAAATTTCTTAGAACACAAAAAGCATTAGTCATTAAGGAGAAAAAAAATTATAAATTGTACTTCATCAAATAAAAACCCTTTTCTCATCAAAGGACATTAAGAAAATGAACAGGTAAGACAAACACTGAGGAAAAAACATGTGCAATACAAACACAAGAGGCTCATATCCACAATACATACAAATGCCTAGAAATAAGCAACAAAAAGACAACAACAACAAAAATGGGTAAGAGATTCACAAACGCTTTCCCTGACCAAACTTGAGTAAGGCCCTTCTGAGCCTTCTTTCCAACTGTGCCTCAACCTTGGGCTCTAATTCTTGGACTAGCTTGCCTAAGTCCAGTTGTAGATGAGTCCGCTTAGAATATCCCACCCTCTATATCTGATCACCCTGGCCTGCCTTTGGCAAGAGTCCTGTTACGTCAGTTTGGCAAAACTCCCTTACCCTGATATCTTCTCTTAGTAATTTTCCATCCACTGACTCCCCCCATTCTGTTTGTTGGCTGTAAATCCCCTGCTGTCTTGGTTGTATTCAGAGCTGAGTTCTCTCTCCCCTAGAGCAAGAGTCCTGAATAAAGTCTTTCTTATTGTTTTAACACATGTAGAATAACTTTTCTTTTTCTTTTTTTTTTTTGAGTTGGAGTCTCACTCTGTCGCCCAGACTGGAGTGCAGTGGCCGCTTCCGGCCACCGCAGCCTCGACCTGCTGGGCTCCAGTGATTCTTCCGCCTCAGCCTTCCAAGTAGCCGGAATTACAGGCATGCGCTACCACGCCAGGCTGATTTTTGGATTTATTGTAGAGATGAGGTCTGGCTGCCCAGGCGGGTCTCGAACCCGCAGGCTCAGGCAATCCACTCACCTCCGCCTCCCAAAGGCGCAGGATTACAGGCTGAGACACCAAGCCCGGCTGAATAACTTTTCTTTAACAAGACTTGGCTAGACACTTCATAATGAAAACATATGAATGCCAATAACTTCATTAAAGGTGTTCAACATCATTATTCATATGGGGAATCAATAAAAACCATTAAAATGGCTAACATAAAAGACTGACAATATAAAATGTTGGTGAGGATGTGGAGCAACTGGATTTTTTTTCCCCACTTTAGTTTTTTCCACTGTGCTAAGTCTCTAGCAAGCTGGACTTTTTTTTTTTAGTTGGTGTTGCCCAGGCTGGAGTGCAGTGGCATGCTCACGGCCACCATGGCCTCGACCTGCTGAGCTCAGGCGATCCTTCCACCTCAGCCTTTAAGTAGCTGGAACTACAGGCATGTGTCACTATGCCCAGCTAATTTTTGGCTTATTGTAGAGATGAGGTCTTGCCAAGTTGCCCAGGCTGGTCTCAAACCAGTGGGTTTACACAATCCTCTCATCTCGGTCTCCAAAGTGCTGGGATTATAGATGTGAGCCAGCAGACCCGACCAAGCTGGACTTTTATACATTGCTAGTTAAGAGTGTAAAATGGCACAACCACTTCGAGAACTGTTTGGTAAAAGTTAAACATATATCTAATCTATGATTTAGCAATTCTAGTCTTAGGTATTTACCTACAAGAAATGAAAACATATAACCACAAAAAGACTTGTAAAGAAATGTTCATAGCAGTCTTATTCACAATAACTAAAAATGAAAAACAAATGAAATGTCCATCTACAGAATGATGGATAAGCACATGTGGTATACTTAAACAAAATAATACTTTTCAGCAAAAAAAGGAAAATGAAGTGTTGGTATATGAAACAACATGGCTGAGTCCCAAAATTGCCATTCTGAGTCCCAAAATTACCATTCTGAAAAGGGAACTCACATTGGTGGTGGGAATTAGTACAGCCATTACAGAAAACAATATGAAGATCTTCCAAAAAACTAAAACCAGAATTCCCACAGCGGGTATTTATCCAAAGGAAAGAAAACTAAATATCAAAGGAATACCTGCACCCCATGTTTATTGCAGCACTATTCACAATAGCCAGGATATGGGCGCAAACTAAGGGTCCATTAATGGATGAATGTATAAAGAAAACATGGCATATGTACAGAGGGTGTGGAAAATGCATACTTTTTTTTAAAAGTCAGAGTCTCACTCTGTCACCCAGGCTGGAGGATAGTGACATGCTCACGGCCACTGCAGCCTTGACCTGTTGGGCTCAGGCGATCCTTCTGCCTCAGCTAATTTTTTTATTTATTGTAGAGATGAGGTCTTGCCAAGTTGCCCAGGCTGGTTTCAAATCTGTGGGCTCAGGCAAGCATCTCACCTCAGCCTCCTAAAGTGATGGGATTATAAGCATGAGCCACTGTGCCTGGCCCACACACATTTTAAGAAAGGAAAAACCCTGATTACATTTGTAATAATCAAGAAATACTGATAACAAAAGATGAATACAAGTCACAATTGACTTCTGCAATTACATATTACTGCTGCAATTCAATTCAACTTCAAAAAGTAATACACAGATAACATCTCTTTTAAACCGGGCTCAGTGGCTCAGCCAGTAATCCCGCGCCTTTGGGAGGCTGAGGTGAGTGGATTG